CGCCACAACAATCTTGACCTTTTTTATTTTCCTTCCTTCACTACCTCATTGGATTCTGGATGGCAACCGTCCTACCCCTGCTTATTACTATTGCATGTAGGGTGAGTGCGACCCTTGCCGGTCGATACCCTTCGCTGAACGTGCTGTTGTTCCTGGCCCTGGTTACTATCCTCTTCCATTCCCTCACAGGGCCTTTTTGGCCCTTGCTGCCTTTTACCTTATTTACATCCTGAAAGCACTAAAGTCATTACGATGACCCGATAATTTCTAGCATGAAAAATCATGCATCATAACAAGAGCACTTGCCATGACTGTTTTCGAATTGCCGCCCAATGAATCTTGGAGCAGCCGTGTTAGCTTCGAATTTCGATAAGGAATGTGTGTAGCTTTCGAATCCACCAAAGCGCTGATTACGTTGCCCAGCGAGGAAAGTGAGAGATTGATGCGCGCCGCTTCACGTAGCCGATTTCCACTTGCACCAGATTTCGACTGCCTTTCACTGCCCTTAAACATAAATCAACATGGTATTTACTCTCTACGGGGGGAAATCGGAAGCAGCAAAAGTGGTAGTATGCGCCAAAAGAAATCAAACGCTAGTAAAGATAACAGTAATTTCCTTTTCCGAAGATTCCCTGTAAGCAAGTCGATAGCAATTCTGACTTGCTGGCATGAGCCGGTAACAGTTTAAAACGAATGAACAAACGAAACGAACAAGCCAGCTGTAGAAGGATTAGCTGTCCCGCTGGCAGAGTCCAACTCTAACTCTCGACTTTTTGCACAACAGCAGTGCTCTGTACTCAATACGCAGTGCCAGTTACGTTATAAATAAAATTTCATAAAAAAAACTATCAATCCGACCAAACCAGCGGCGTGGGGGATACCAATGTGACTATGCAAGAAGGAGTCAGTGGAAACTGCGACCAAAAAAAAACAATGTGGTTTGCCTCCAAAGAAAACACGTGCATATATCGAACAGACGATGGGTACTGAAAGGAAGTACACAGCTCGGGGATGAAGTGCTTGGCACCGCTGCACTCGACGTGTGAGAACAATTCGACAAAATCACTAAAATTCATCCTTTTCACAAATTCGCTTTGCCGTTTTTTCGGTAACTTGCAATAACTACACAATTAATGAGGACACGCATTTCCGTAACAGTGGGAGAAAGAAAAGACAGTATGTTCGGCTAACAGCCAAGCATGGCCCGATAAAAACATTATATCTTGTGTTTCTGGCGCATTTTATAA